AGATCCAACAGTGGTGATGCCCTAGGATGGTGGCTGTGGCTGTTTACAAGTACATCCCGTGTACCTGGAACTCCATCAATATTATCTAAAATCTTAAAAAAGAGTTTCCCAAAGTGTGATCCTTTACTTTGACATAGAAAAGGCTCTGGAGTAAAATAAGGATGAGAAACAATGCACTATTCCCATCATGCCAAAGAGATCAGATTTTTTTTTTTAAGAGGTTTTTGCCTTAGGGGGTAGAGAGAGACAGACAGACAGTGAGAGGGAAAGTGAGACATTTTCAATTTACCAGGTCTAGGACTTGAACCACAGTTGACCATGTAGAAGTCCAGTTATGTAACTCTTAAACCATCTACTGGTTCTAAGAGTAGATTATTAAAGGCTCTGAGGATACAAAAATATGCACTGGCTTCATGTCTCAGTGGTATTGTGCTACTTAAGAGAAGCCTCATTCTACATGGAGACCATGGTTCAAATTCCTGGCTTGGTCTGCCTGAAACATGCCAGGTATGCTTGCAGGTACCCAGAATTCCATGGGCTGGAGGACTAGAGGAAAAGGATCATGGCACGACCTGATCTAGAGGAAGGTGCCTCTCTCTCTCCCTCTCTCTCTCTCTTTCACTCTGACATTCATATGCTCTATCATGACCAAGGGAAAAAAATAATAAAAATTAAAAATAAAAACAACTTGCAATCAAGAAGTCATGCTGGAGGCCAGAAGATGGTGCAGAAGTTAAGGCAGCTGGATCCCACATGACTAAGTGGCTTGAGTGCTAAACCCAGTGGTTTAAAAATCATGTTGGGCACATGTGCGTGTGTGCCAAAAGTCCTAAGAGAAGAATGAGAAGGGATTGCAGTATGACCATCACCCTGGGGGGTTGAGGGATGATTTCTCACTTACCCTCTCATTGTCTCTGGCAAATACACATGCCCCATAGCAAAAACCTTTTTTTAAAAAGTTCTCAAATATAGTGAAGGATTTTTTTTTCTGAAAGTAGAAAAATAGGAGCCAGTTTGCAAAGTAAAGCAAAGAGTGCAGATGCAGAGCTCAGAGCTGTAAGAAATATATTTCTATGTCTGTTTCCTCAAAGAAATTATGAGCTCCCAGTGGAATACCAGAAAAGACACTCAAAAAGAGTTTTTGACATTGCAAAGAGAGTTGATAAGTAATGGAATACAATCCCAGGATCAAACAAGGGCTGGATGAAGGATGCCTTAGGAAGAGAGTGGACATTTTTTCTGAAGTACAAGGAGAGTAAGAGGCACTGACAGGAAACGCAGGGACATTCTGGAAGAAGAGACTACACAAAGGAGTTGTTCGGCAGCACACAGGAGACCCACATCAGCTGGCCTTGATCAGTGCACTCCCACGAGGGGAGGTCACTGCTCACGCAGGGAGCTGGCAGCAGTCAGAGGCCGGGCAGAGTGGGAAAGGAACTGAACGAGACCAAAACCAGCAGTTGGGGCCCATATGTTTTGGAGTCCAAAGAGATGCAGAACAGTTTTGCTGAGTAACAGTGAGAATCCAATATGAAGAGTGGCCATACAATGTGGTGTGTAAGGGCAGGTCCCTGAAGTCAGACTAAGCAGGTTTGGATTTGAATCTCAGATCCTCCCTTTTGGACAGAGTGAAATTAAAGAATAGATGTAAAAAGGTTGAGATTAATGCTTGGCCCGTTAGTAAGCACTTGTTAAGTATTGGTTGTTATTATTATTAGTATTTTGTGATGCAACTAGCATAAGAATTTTGTGAGTTTTCTTTAAGAAACATGAGGTTACCTGGGACAACCAAAGGTAGGAGCAAAGTCATAACACGAGGCAGGGACCTACAGCTGAAGATTGGCCCAGCAAGCATTGTGGGAGGGCAGAAGATGGTAAGTCTCGGTTCCTAAATAGGTAGTGAGTGTAGTAAAGCCCATAATAAAGGCGAAGGATCAAATAGCGGTGCGGTGGTAATACAATGCATGCTTTGCAATGCTGAACTAACATGGGAAGGTCCCAAGTTCATGTCCTGGGGCCTTCTAGTACATATTCAATGAGCCTGCATATGCCCATGGTCTAGGCTGGCTGAAGCTGAGGGTGGATCATGGCATGCAGATACTGCTGAGGGTGCCTATTTCTCTCTTTCACGGAAGAAGAAATAAGGAAGGCAGGACACTTCAACTTGAGCTTTTCGCTAGAGAAATACTGAGGGTAATGATAAGACCTAAAATGTTGCCATAAAAGCCATGGCTGCCATACCTGCATTCATTTCAACCCATTGACAACTTTTTGCCAGCCATCTTATGGTGCTGAGGATATAGTCATCAACGAAGCACACAAATCGCTCTGCCCTTATGAAATCTAAATTCCAGGGGCGGTGCTAGCCATTATCCAGCTCTCCCTAAAACTCCTTCCTCACATTATTGTCTTAATCTTCTCAACAAGGTTCAAATGATAATAGAGCAGTAACGCAATTCTCTGTGGTGCTGGACCCACATAGGAAGGTCCTAGATTTGTACCCTGGGACCTCCCTGCACATGCTGGGCACATTCATGTCCATGATCTGGGCTAGCTGAGATGGGATTGGATTGTGGCATGAGGACCCTATCGGGGTGCTTATCTCTCATTTTCTCTCTCATGGAAGAAATGTTTTAATTAAATTAAAAATAACCCCTTAAACCAATTGTGTTGGTATTTATCAAACACATTTTTCAGACAAAAATATTGAATTTTGCCCCAAACCAAACAGCTAATACATGGCAAAACTGGGTTTCAAACACTGATGTAATTCTGGGACCAGCAGCTAGCATAATGGCTATGTCGCTGGACTCCCATGTAGTCGACCGCGGTTCGCATCCCAAACCCGGTGGCTTAAACTCACGCCGGGCACGTGTGCATGCGTGCCCAAGATCCCGAGAGAAGAATGGAGGAGAAGGGATTGCAGCATGGCCATTCCCCCTAGGGGGTGATTTCTTGCTTTCTGTCTCTCTGTCTCTCTCTGTCTCTCTGGCGAGCGCACGCGCCCTATAGCAAAAAAAACCTCTCCAAAAAAAAAACCAAAAAAACAAACAAAAAAAACCACTGATGTAATTCTAAAATTCATTCTTATAAGAACTGTTGTAGCTTTTTTCCAGCTGGAACCATGGAGGGTGTTCAAAAGAAGAAAAAGAAGGTTCCTGCTGTGGCAGAAACCAAGAAAAAGGCTCCTGCTGCCATGGAAGCCACCAAGAAAAAGATTCCTACTGTGCCAGAAACCCTCAAGAAAAAGCAAAGGAATTTTGTGGAGCTTAAGATCAAACGCCTGAGAAAGAAGTTTGCTCAAAAGACACTTGAAAAGACAAGGTAAAAGCTTATCTATGAAAAAGCTAAGCACTATCATAAATAATATAGACAGATGAACAGAACTGAGATTTTCATGGCCAGGATGGCAAGAAAAGCTGCCAACTTCTATGTACCTGCAGAACCCAAATTGGCATTTGTTGTCAGGATCAGAGGTATCAGTGGAGTGAGCCCAAAGGTTTGAAAGAAAGGTGTTTGCAGCTTCGTCATCTTCACCATATCTTCAATGGCACTTTTGTTAAACTCAACAAGGCCTCAATTAACATGCTGAGAATTGTGGAACCATATATTGCATGGGGGTACCCGAATCTGAAGTCAGTAAATGAACTGATCTACAAACGTGGTTATGGCAGAATCAATAAGAAGCAAATTGACAGATAACTCCGTGATTGCTGGATCTCTTGGTAAATTTGGCACCATCTGTATGGAGGATTCAATTCATGAAATCTATACTGTTGGAAAACCTTCAAAGAAGCAAAAAACTTTCTGTGGCCCTTCAAATTATCTTCTGCTTGAGATGGAATGAAGAAAAAGACCACCCATTTTGTAGAAGGTCTCGGAGATGCTGGCAACAGGGAAGACCAGGTCAACAGATTTAGTAGAAGGATAAACTAAGGTATCCACCATGACTATTTTTGTAATCTGGTCAGTAAATAAACAGAGTGGCTGTTCGCAGACTGCAGTATATTGTTCTAATAGTAACTTTTTTGTTAGCTTGCTTCTGCCTTCCCTTAAGAATTGTGGCACATCTTGGTGCTTGATAAAATTAAGCCAAAACTTCTTCAAGACTAGGGCCCTTTTTTTATTTTGTGAAAATCATTTAGGAACCATTGGCAGGTTTTTCCTATACAAGAAAGACCTAATGTTTCCCCTTTGAATTTTGCTGAGTAAAAGTGGGCTTATTCAAAGAAAATTTATTTCAAGGCATTCATGCATGATTTGTAGGTAAGATAATAAAATAAAGGTCAGTTCACCAAAAATAAATAAATAAAAATAAATTTTAAAAACCCAAAATAAACAAACAAAAGAGCTGATCTATATTTAATCTCTGTGCAGTTGAATAATGTTGGCAACTAAAGGAGAAAGTCTTAAGAACTGAGGAGCTTCAGACTTGTAAGATCAGAATGTTAGGGCTTTCCACAGGTACTGAGTGCCCGAGATGATGGGAGAAGACGAGGGACAAAGGGAAATGAGACCTTGGAATTAAAGTCCGCAAAGAAGGTGAAGGTTTGCTGTGAAGCAGTGAGGTCACTGAAGGAAATGAGACAGAGCCATACTGAGAGAACGGCCTTGGTTTGTAAGAACAACA